GTCACAGTTGTGTCCAGCATCATTTACATATGTATCCTTGCCAAATCTACTCATCCAGACAACTGTGCTCTATCTCATCACTTTTCTCATCCATCCACCCACTTCATGACATAAAATTGTTCATTCTGTATCTGTGCATTAGTATTTCTGGGAAGTGAGTCTCCCCTGAGAATCTTTGTCATTGACATGTAATCCCTTATACTCTTCTTGAACCTGTAGTCAATGGGGGGAAACAGATCAATCACTCATCACAAAGCTACATGTCATTATGATGGGAGGATTGCTATACATAGACTTGAGTTATGAGTAAAAAATTCTCTATCCATCTCCACTTAGACTGACCAAGCAGTGTGCTCCCCTAGGCCATTTTAGTACCCAAAAATGGAAAGCTGAATTTTGGGACTTTTCCTAAAGGCTGGTGTGCTTATTCTAAAGATAACTGCTCCTCTATCAGTTTGTTGTTTTCGTCTTACACCTTTCTCTAATTCTCTCTCACTCTCTGGTGTGTGTGTGTGTGTGTGTGTGTGTGTGTGTGTGTGTGTGTGTGTAAAATAGAGGCACATTTGAGTGCAGTGCATATTTCATGTGGATGACAGGTAGAGGAGACTACTGGGTTTCTCTCTTTGTCAGTCTCTGTCTTATGAACTTGAAGCAGGCTTTCTCATGTGCCCAGGAGCTTGAAATTTCATGAGATTGACTGACCAGCAAGCTCTTGGGATTCTCTGTGTGTGCTTGCACTTGTGTGAGAATGTATTGACTATACTATACTCAACCCTCCACTAAGAACACAATCTTCTAATGAACAGGAGCAGCAAAGAATGGAGGAGAGACTCCAGAGCTTGCTGAAGCAGAGGGAGCTGGTCACACAGCAGAGAAACCTGGCAATAAAGCTGCAGCATCATTTGACTGTCTCTCAGATGAGGTAGGAACCCAGGCTGAAGTTGGGGTATAGAGCCAATTGGGTCCCCTGTACCAGGGCTCTCTGTCCTTTGTTGGCTTTTGCTTATCAGCAAGACTCCCTTCTCCGAGCATGGGTAGACCAACTCAGAACTCAGAGAATTATGCTGGTCCCATCAACAAGAACTTCTGTCCAGCAAACAATATGTTTGATACTCCCTGGGTCTGTAGACTTGTGTCCCATCCCTCCCTTCTGATCTCTCTGGTATGTTCTCAGCAGGCTTTCCTTGAACTCAGAGATCTGCCTGCTTATGCCTCCCAAGTGATGGGATTTAAAGGTGTGCCTCACCATATCTGACTGAAACTACATTTTTATACAGGATTAGCACCTGTAAGATGAGATTCACACCCTTGTAACTATTTGATGTAACAATGGCTGTCTTCATTGTTTGAGCATTTCCCATATAAAGTGTACTGGG